AACCAGGCTAAAGTATTATTCAGCAATGCATTGATAATTCCTATAAAGATTATAAGGGTATGTTTCAGTATATGGCTTTTATAAGAAAATCAGTTCATAAAGAGAACAAATTCTTAGTTTTGCCAGATTCTCACATGCCTAATAACATTTTAATGGTTGCAACTCAGGACGCAAAAGTCAGCAAAGGGACAGCCTTCTCTTTTGGTTTCAGTGTGCAAATCTATTTGCTTTTGTCTTGAGGTGTAAAGATCACAAAACCTTGTACAGAGGTGAAGTCTTCCTTTTTATCTTCTGGAGATTTACAGTTGAAATAAAGCAAATAATGGTCTTCAAGCAACAGCACTGAAGGTGAGGCTGCATAAACACAGCGTGTGTGAAGAACAGTAGCTTTAATGAAGTTTGTCAGTGGCATTTGGCTTAATGAGTAGCTACAAGCCTGGAAAAATGGATTAATGTTAGACTGAGGCACATTAGCAGACCACTGCTTTGTTATCGCAGGGACACGGCAACACTCTGTTCTGGTTGAACAGCCTCAATGTTTTCACAGCAGATTATAGGACAGACTTGAACCTGCTCAGCTGAGGCAGAAATCACAGGGAGGCACCCTCACCAGAGGGAGATTAGTTGTCATGCTCTGACCTTTCTGTGACTTACAGACATATCTCTGCCCAAAGCCATTTCGCCCAGAGATTATCTTCTTAAATTGCTTGGGTATGTCATCCTTCTGACACATCCAACAAGTAGCCACAATTCCTTATGTTTAAAATAGGGTAGCATCTTTTGGAATAGGGAAAACTTCCTTGAAAGGGAAGAGCACACCAGCCTTGTTCTTTATAGCCAGAAAGCTGAGGGAACTCCATCCCAAACGCTCCAAGAAAACAGCTTTTTTCTTCTTTGAGACCGACATTCTTCACTTTACCTTAGAAGACATAAGGCTTAGAGTCCCTACAGAGTCTGACGTGTATTACTTTAATATTTTGGTGATATGAATACTCAGCCATCATAAAGTAAGTTTCCTCATCTCCTTTTGTGTAAGAGAGCTGATGTGAAAACTTTAAATAGCTACACTAATAACCTAAACTAGTGACAAAGAAGTAAGAATGACCAGCTCTTAGATGATTCTATGCACTCTGCACCTACACAGTTGAATTTCTTATGCACTGTAATTACAGAAGATTCTGAAGCCATTTTCAATTGGATATATACAATTATGTTTACTTGACAGAAGTATTGAAACAATCACTAAGAATCAGATCCTTAGGTCGCATACACCAATATTAATCAAAGAAGCATAAGAAAATGTAAATAGTTACATATATTAATAGAGTGTGCTTGTGTAAATACACCTAGTGATATAGAAACACCTTGAATTAATTTAGATACAATCTAAATTGCTGGGGAAAAAAGGAGTTATACAAACCAATTTTTTTTTGAGGGGTTCCAAGGTAAACAATAAACTTGCCCTTCTCAGAATTCTGTAAGAGGGAAGTAAACACGTTGCTGGAGGCGCAATGGCTCTCTATCAATCCTTAAGAGACCTCCCTGCTCCAACCAGGGGCAGGAGAAAGGACTGCAATTCTGATTCCACGAACTCTCATCATATACAGAAAATTCTAGAAATCTTATTCTAAAAGCAGTTAGGAGTATACAGAAAGAGATTAGTAAATGATACTGAACAAAATATGTTACTTGAGAAGAATCCTGCTGACTTCACTCCCTTTTACTCTGAATTGCTCTGGATTATGTTCCAGCAGAAATCAGGGCACCTTTCAACAAAATACTGTGCCACAAGAAAATGCTTTTCATCTCTTATTATGAATTAAAAGATAGCTGTGAATAGTGTTTTAAAAACCATTAACAGCGTCAGCTGTGCTATTAGTATAACAGGGGAAAAAATGAACCCAACAATTCATGGTTAACGACTGCAATTTCAGTAAGCATCTTTAGTTCCAGTATTTCCTTATTTCTGATTATCAGGTTGTCTAGAAGGCATGCAGCTCTCCGCAGAAGCTGCCTCTATCCACCAGGTTTAAAGACAAGAGGATCATCTTTCACTCAAGTGTTTACAAACTTCACAGAAAAGGTGTGCACCCCCAGAACCTGGATGGGGTTCCCACCCCACTGTACCTTACCAGGTAGAGACGCAATTCCCATCGCTCGAGTGCATCCTCACAGTTCCTGCCTTGAGCAGCTCAGCATAGATGCTATTTCATTTGTTACACTAGAATTGGAGCACAGAGGGAGCGACACATTTGTGAGTCCTTTGCCTTCTCCCGCACAGTCTGAGGCCATGAATTTCCCTGCAGACCCCTCGGCATGATGAGCTGTGAGCCCACCACGGCTCACTCACCATTGGTGATCGCTTTTAATTTGCAGGAAGGCTGCTTAGTGGAAGAAAAGCTGGAGTCAGTGTAGCTGGAGTTTTTTACCAGCATAGACAGGAAGAAGAGGCCTCCCTATCACTTAGGCTGGGCATGTTCTCTGTAAAGATAATCTAACAGAGACTTTGAATTCAAGTGCTAAAAGGCCATTACTGTAGGCTACAGGAGTCCCTTTTTACCTTACAGCATGACCTGAAGGGACTAGCAACAAATGATGATAAATAATCTTTACACTAGATGCCTTATACACATCTGTGGGTGTAAGGTACCCTCTGCGATTTAAAGTTATGTAGGAGTTAAAAGTGTAACTTCTCACAAGCACAAAAATCCTGTCCAAAGGCACACAAAACATTCTCTCTGTTGAAGAGCTCACATTTTTGGACAGATACTGAAGTGAACTGAAGGCTGCAACATCTTTGGTTCATTTGCTTTTAAACAAGATTTTTTTTAGTGGCTTTAGAGGCAAAATTGAAATAATGAATCTTATTTCAGAAAGGATTATGCCAAATATAGATGATAACTCCTTATATCAAATTCAGCTACAAGTGCCTCATTTCTAAGCACAAACAGGCAAGATGCTGAAGCACAGATGTGCTCATATCCCTCCCCAGCAAATAAAACTGAAAAAATAAAACCAAACCAAAAAGGAGACCAGTTTCCCTCCTCTTCTCTAGAACTGATCTGACTGGAAAAATCAATCACTTAGTCACAAATTGCATGCAAGCCAGCTGGGCAGCTCTCCTGTAGAGGACTGCAAGGACAGCACAGCCATGCTCTGGTTCTGCCTTTGGCCACAAACAGCACCGGAGTGAAATCTGATGCCCAACATCGCAACTTTAAGACACAGTCAAATGGCTATTATTTTCACTGCCAGAGCTAAACTTTATTTCCATGTGTATTACATACTGGTATTTGATGCCAAGTACATTAAAATTACTTTAACAGAGGATTTAAGTGAGGAATATTTATTCTTCACTAAACAGGTTAAGAAGGAATGTAAAAACCTGTAAGAAAAAAACAAACTGTTTAAGCTTTGTTTTGATTTTGGCAAACCAAACAGTTAAGTACTCTTCTGTTCTCTCCTCAGATCTTTCAAAGTACCAAAAAAGCATCTTTTCATGATCATGCAGCTGAAGAAAAAAATAGTCTTATAAAATCCATTTCTTATGCTAAATATGGTTACAAATAAGAGTATTAAACACAAAAACTCCCAATTCCTATTTTTAACTACAAATACTGTATTATATTATGAAATGGGGATAATTAAAATATATCAATGACTACAAATCTAGTAATTTAAAGCAAACTTAAACATGCTGTTTGCTTTCATGTGGAAGAATCAGGATATTGTATGGTTCAAGCACTGCAGTAATTTCTGTCAACTCCTTGATGCTCAGAATGTCAAACTGCCAAACACAAAGAGATGTATTCCGGTCTGAATAGCACCAGGTGTTTTTCTTTTGTTTTTTTTTCCCCTTTTTGTCTTTTTTTTTTTCCTTTTACAGATACTAACATCTAATAAAATGAGTGATGTGACAACTTTCTGAAAGTGACATGCACAAGTAGACAATTTGCTTCAAGTCTCCAACTAATACGTTAAAAGTTTTAGACAATACTGAACAATGTGTACAACCAATTTCATGGTACACAAGCAAACAGTGCTTCCACAGTATTTCTTCAGTTCTCAAGTACAAAAATATCAGTTATGGGTAGTCAATAGTTATCAAAATTTTTATTGGTACAGAATGAAAGCAGCATTTACTTTATTGTTTTTTAAACCTTACATCATAGAATTCCCTAGTACACATGTGGAGGAGTGAAATAGGCTCTGTACTATTTACCTGCTACTGAGCCTAGGTCCAGATCTAAAATCTTTCCCGGCCAAATACAAACAATTAATAGCAAGGGGAAGGGAAGGCAGTTCCTCAATGTGAAAGGTCAGCATTTAGAGTCTTACTAAAGCACTATTTTTGAAACAATACATCACTTAAATGTATAATTACATACACTACAAGTGGAAAACAAGCTTTTATTAACAAGAACCATTGAGACTGGGCATAAACGTCTTAACCACAAACCCTGGAAATACTATGGGTGCTTTGATGTGGCTCTTTTTGGCGAGAGAATAAGAACAATGAAGTATGGCTTTTCAATCTTCCTTTAAAAGCACATTTTATAAAATTTTGTAGGCTTAAATTATTTTAGAGAACCCCTAACATCTTTATGTAACATCAATTACTAATCAGAAACATTAATTACATCTGTTTATTAAGTCATTGGCTGATAGCTGTTCACCAGCGTTAAACATAGGAGCCGTTTGCTTTTGCAGTTTTTTGTTTTAAGTAAGGGAGGTACTTTTCTAGTGAGAGCCATCCTACAGTACTATCACACATTTCAGAGGTTACTACAAAGCTTCTCAAAATCCTCAACAGTTTTGTTTTCTGGCAGATATTCACATCAAGCATATGCAGAGAGCAAGTACAATCAAGTGTAGACAGTTCAAAAGTATCTCTCGATCACTATTTTACAGTTACCCTCCGCAAAACAAAAGCTCCTCCTCACCCCAACGAGACGGGGCGAGAAGGGGAAACAGGTCTGCCATTCGTGTAGGAGTTTTGGCTAGCATAAAGTTTTATTAAAGTTGTTAACAAAAATAGTTAAACATTTTTACAATTTAACATCCAGTCTGACAAAAGGCAAATCAATGAAAAAAATACAAAAAAGTAAAAAAGTGCACTACCCAGTCCAGTATTTTGCTTTAAAGTCATGTCACTTACAGCATATGAAAAATAAACCCAGAAGTGTAATTACTTTAAAATACACCGCTTCCATATTTCAGTATTTTACACATATATTCTATACTGGAAGAGGAGATCTCTTAAAAACTTTACTCTTAAAATATTGAGGTGCATATGCCAAGTGGGATAGACTTAGCAAGTTAAGTTGCAGTAGAGAATCCTTTCAAATTTGGCATTTCATTTACATACCTTACTGTGTCAGCAAGGTCTGTAGTACCTAACCCTTCTAGTAAGAACAGTAATTTACTTTAATGCAGATTTACTAATACAGACAGCTACAAGAAACGGTGAGGTCAGCAATTCTATGGGATCTTAGAGGAGATACGAGTCCTGATTTAGTTGTCAAATGGTACAATGTCACAACAAACTTTTAAGGCCATGTTTTATTTGCTGATTAATGGACAAAAGGCAATGGATTTCCCCCCCACACTAAATATTTTCTTGAAAGTCTGTGCTCATAAAAATCATGAAAAGTTGGAAAGACTTAATTATTGAAACTTTAAATATATTTTACACAATCTTGTTTGTACAAAAATACAAGTTAAATATAAACATAAAGCAATCATGACAATTTTATGTAAATCCATTTTGTGATATTCTGTTATATATAAAAAAGTTTCTCAGCTCTGTCTCATTGTGAAAAGATCAATACCAGATTGAATCACTACTGGCAAAGGGCCCTAAAAAGCACACTTTAGCATTAAATATGTTTTACAATGTAAGTACCATTTCCTGATTTCATCTTTTCTAAAGACCGGCAAAAGATAGGGCAGTATGTCCATAAACCAACAAATAATTTGGCTACAATGTCATAAAACACAAACACACAAATCTGTACACAATAAACCCAGTAGTTAATGCAGTACGTACTTGTTACACACATACACAGACGTGGAATGAAACTTAGTGAGACACCATTTCTAGTTCACTGTTCTTCAGCCTGGCATTTTGTCTTACTTCATCAAATGAATACGACTTCGTTACCTTTCCATTCTTAAATACTGTGTGAAGGAGATCCTGCAAGAAACACCACTGGTTTAGCAAGTGTCATCTGGCACATGAACGAGCAGCATAGGTTACACAAACTCAAAAGTAAGCCCCCACACCAAGCCTGGTAAGACCAGAGCTTTAGACTCTCAAGACACTAAATCTTCAGAGCTTTTTCTGACACCTTTCGCTAATGGTTCCAACAGAAGAAAGGATTTACGCCATCCTGTGCACAGACAGAAGCTTTGTGCTGGGGAGTCCCCAGAGTGAGTTGTCCACATGTGGCCAAAGCCAAATACGCTAAACACGCTAAACATTCTTACTAGCTGCTCTAGCAAGGTAAGGTGACACTCAACCAACTAAATACAATCCAATTAGAGGTTTAAATGCAATCGCCATTTCATCTAGTGCAGCTATGTAAAAAAAAAATTTAGCAAAGACCAAATTTTTCCTCACGGTGCCCTTTGCACATTTATTTTTTAAAACAATTTGTTTTTTAAAATAATTGCTTGCAAACTGCACATTGAAAGAGCAATAAGCACAGCTTTGCACAGAGGAGTTGGCACAGGAGCAATACTGACCAGTCGCTGTGCTTCAAGACCTACTGCAAGGACCTGTGGCTTTAGGGAAACGTGCACACAAAAGAGTAGGGAACATTTCCCCGGGAGCCCCAGGACCTCTGCCACACATATAACCCTCTCTAATAGGACAGAAATTTTTTTTTTTTTTTTTTTTTTTTTGAGAATATCTCCAATTGTAAAGTCTAAACACTCTGCTGGAACTTTAACAGTCTGCTCTTACCAAATTTGGCACTGGGGACACTTCCGTCATCGTAAGATGGGAGTTGAATATGGCAACGATCAAAAATAAATTCAGAAATAAAGTTATAACTTGTTTTTTCTCAGTCTATTTTTTGCATTTTGAAAATCCATACCTGTCCATACTCTTCAAGATCTCCCTTGCCTTCTTCAAGTGTCACGTAGTCTCCAGCTGGTGTCCTATGCAATGACAGTCGTCCTTTCTTTGACCTTTTGTTTGGATCAGCAACTGGGTCCTTGAAGACATTTACCTAAATTAAAAAGAGTATTTTTTTAAAAGGAAAGGGCTTCGTGGGGCTTCTGTACCTAAATGCAGATGGTGGCAATGTAGCAGGAAATGTCAAAGAGGTTTTCAAGTGGGGAGGCATCTACTGAAAACCTAAGGGTATAAATTGTACAAAAGACATACCCCGAGACCGTTGGTCACCACGTAACTACACTTGAAGGAACAGTTTAAGAGATCTCTGGTTAGTTTCTGCAGCAAAGCTCCACCAGATCCAAAGGCAATATTCTCAATACTCCATTTATTCTTCTTCATTCCCTCCACAATCTAGTAAGAAAAAACAACATTATGATGGAGCATACTTTTAGGTCATGCCATTTTTCCAGAAAAGTGTTATACTACTTAAACAAGATGCTTTTACAGACAATTAAACCAACTAACATTCAGTTTCCAGGAGATATATGTAACAATCCCCTCAATACTTGACACGTTGTTTGCGACTTCAGAGTGGCACAATTACAGAAAGTTTTTGCTGTAAAAGATTATCATGCCAGCATAGATATTTTCCAAACTAAGGTAGCACAGTAATGCAGTGCCCAGACAATCAGAGCTCTAAAGAAAATAACAGACTTCACGGGAGCATTTCAGAGCCTTCCGATTTCTCAGAATTATGGGAAGACCTCCAAGCATATCACGTATCCTGAAACAAAGTAGGCATCTTGCTCGTCAGCTCCAGAAAGTTATTACCCGCTTTGACTAATGACTTCAACAGAGCAGTTCTCTCAAAAATCACATTGACTAGAATTAGTTTAGCAATTTTGAAGATGGGAAATGGAAATACGTAAAGCTACTCAAAAAAACTTCGCTTTGCCACCTTCTCAGGCAGGCACAGATCAATGTGAACTGCGCTGCTATCGACAGTCAAGTTCAAACTCACTGCGTCATTTCCGCTCACCCGCATTCTATCCAGACAAACAGGACATCCTCTAGCCTGGAGTAATGGGTGCTGGTTTAGTCATGCTCATACATGGCCATGATTTGTTTCCCTGGCGTCCTACCCTTACGACAGCCTGAAATGATGGTTATAGCCCCAACAAGAGAGTGACTGAACTCCTGTCTCCTAACCATTTTACTTACAAAAGTGAGAAAAAATTTGAAGTGAGTGAGATCCCACCCATCCAGACAAAAAAGAAGGCGAGAAGCAGAATGGAAGGACATAATCTATGGGGAACAGCGCAGAGTTTAAAACAAAAATAAAATAAATCAATGTGTCAGAAATCCAGTAATCTTTTGTGCAGTCTCAGCCTCCTGCATGAAAAGGAAATGCCAGACTAACACTGAATAGGACTGTTTCAAGACCTACTGATGTCAAGCCACTTTTTTAAAGGACAACTAAGGCAAAAAACAAGTTTCATAAGAAAAAAACACAACCAAACAACAAAAATAAAAGAGATAAATTCAATTTCATATGGTGGCAAAAGGCTAACTAATGTAAACAAAAGAGTATACTAGTATCTTGTTTATTCATTTAGTCACATGCAGACTGTCTCTTTGCAGATACTCTCAAAGTCTGAATGCCTGACAGAGGCCAGCCAAGAGCAAGGGCAGGCTGCAGAGCCATAACCTTCTGAGGGTATGATCTGAACACCTTCCCACCGCATTTTTAGCAGAGATTTCCCCAGCAAAATGCTCATCAGTGAGTTTCCATCATTATAATGGTTCCATCTTACTCAGCCTCATTCAAGAAGCCAAGTGAAACGAATCTCAGGCCCTACCACCATGACATTCACTTAAGGGAAGCCTTTGGAAGCTTTTTATCCTGAAAAAATACCTCTGCAATATGTGACAACCCTGTGGATTTTAGCAGTAGTCATCACATCCTTTTCAGACAGTGACTGTGCACAAAAGGAATCCATATTTTCAGGTGATTAGGTTCTCCTGGAAGCAGCTAAAAGGGGTACCCAGGGAGGATAAAGCATTTAAATGAATGATATTCTCTTAGCATCTCAGAAGTGAAGACGACAAAGGAAGGGCAAGAAAAGGGATTCAGTATTCCCTCTCCTTAAGCATAAGGCCCAATTAGACTCTGCTTACCTACACCATCTTCTAAAAAGGCAAACATTCAAAATCCACCTGGCCGTGTTCCTGTGTGACTTACTCTCAGGTGATCAGGAGATCCTTCTTTGGCAGGAGGGTTGGACTAGATGATCTTTCAAGGTCCCTTCCAACCCCTAACATTCTGTGTGGTTTGCTCATCTGGTGCCAAAGGCACAACTCCTTGCTCACCTTGGGTGAAGAACTGGCTTCCACCCTTCCCAGGGGATTTCCTTACTGACTGATCCACAGCTGGTGAGTGGTGGAATGGAATGGAAATCGAGACTAAGCTGACAGACAGCTCTGACTCCCACCTATGACCCTGAGCAGAGGCCCAGATAAAAGCTTCCTTAGGAATGGGGAAGAGATGTCAAAGAGCAGCAGCAACACGGACGAAGAAAAGTGGGAGATCTGAAACAACTGAAGCTTCCCCCCAAAGGAAAACAGTACAGAAGAATTTCTTGTCTCACACTTTCAAACCTATATAGAGAAAACACTTCTGGTATCAAGGTTTTGACCAGCTTCCTCTGACCATTATGAGCATGACTGATGTATCAGCTGTGACTCCAGATTAGAGGGTTTTCTTTGTATAAAAACGTAAAGACATCTGGAAATTGAATGTTCAAAGAAAATCCTTTGAAAGTGTAGGATATTGTGGAATTAGCAGATTGGAATGATTTTAAAAAGTGAAAATGCTAGGAGAAAGTCAGAAAAGATTCCTTACCTGTTCTACCAGCATCCCCTATTAAAACAAAGAATTTTAAAATCCAGTTTATACTTTTGAGTTGTTTTCTATATTGTTGTTTCAGCTAATTTGGATAGTTAAATGAGACTGGTCATTACTCATTCTAGATTTTCCTATTGTACTCATTACATTTCATCGGATCCTTAACAATAAATCATTCCTAGAATCCAAGACTGATGTGGAGTAATTAGAATAATCATTTGCATAGGCTATAAGGGGGGGGGGGGGAAAGAAAAAAGAAAAGATGGCCACAACAATACATTCATATTTGTTCATGTAAACTCCTTTTGGAAAAAGATGAACTATATTTCAGGGCTGGGTTGGTTCTGAAGTGTTTTTTTTTTAAATAGCAAGCTATTACTCAGTCTTCCAAAAGTCAGCATGGTAACCTTGGTTTTGCTTAGAAAGGAGGATAGAGATATCCATTAAATTTGAATATGACTAAAGTTAGGCTGCAAGATCATGGTCTTTTTGCTCCAACACAACTTGCTGCTGTCAGATGAGAAGTGTCCCTTCCCACCTGCTTCTCCCAGCCCAAAACAACAGTTTATTTTCTCTCCTGTATTGTGCTGGTGAGTTCTGGCCCACTTTCTGGGCCAATTTAATTCACTAAACCACAAAACTGATCGCTTCTGGCTGCGTTAGTTTGGTGCTACATGTGTGGGCTCAGTTAGTTTAATGACCAGCAGTTCAATGACCAAAGCTGATGTGCGGCGTGCCTTACTTAGTCAGGAAGATAAGAGAAGGTGGCCATGGGGCAGCAGTGAGTTATGTCTGTTCTGTGCATCTTGTGGAACTGGATCTTCAACTCTCTTCTACTACATACTACAGGTAGACTTCTCCACATAAACAGTTACAGTTCAGTGAGGAAAATATGTAAATAGGCAGATCATTTGAACACAGAACTGCTCCTTCCGTCTCTCATCATCTCCCAGTAGCTGCTGGAATTATTTTTCTGCTCTATTTAGAACTTGGAAAGCAGTACATTTTTTCCCCTAATGTCAAGATTTATAAATACTAGTTTTAATATTTTGATTACAATTAATGGTGTACGAGTATCCTTGAATTTCGTCCAGCATAACTTACAGAAAGTAACCTTCGTGTCCCTTACAAGAAAGAAGAGTACAATTTCTTTCCTGTCATAGCTCATGGAAATCTCAACCACAACACAGTTCGCCTGACTCAGGCATCAGTCCTGTTTGCTGTTGAGAACGAGCAGATGTTTATTAAAAAAAAGTTTCTTCTCCTAGTATCAAATGATAAGACTTCCTTTCCAGCTATTAACCTCTCACACTTGTGCTCTGTTAAGCACATTAGCACAGTTGTATATTTTCCAAAAACCACAGAATGTAAACAAAAAGGTAAAGTAAAATAAAATTTGCTTTAAAGGCTACCGGAGGAGGAACAAAACTGTAGTGTGTGACTGTGCTCCGGATGGCATATCAGGTAACAATCTCGGTGTTAACTGCTCTCTGAGTATCTGAGTGACAAATTTGAGTTCACATCATGTGCCCACATTAGATACACAGAGTTTCAGACTAATCCACAAGCCTGATGTTTCTCTTACTCCTTATTTTGAGAAGGAGGAAAAGTGAACTTTGTTAAGAAAGCTCTATGGACATGTCAGTCTAGAAAGATAAGACACATGTCAATAAAATCAAGTAAAATTAATCTTCAATTCCTCCAATTTACTTCTGGTTTTGAACTCTAATACAGCTGAAGATGAATGATCCAGGACAAACCTGATAAAGTCAAGCCCTCCTCCTTTCACATGCAGTTACTGCAGGCTGTACCTTTGCAACCAATTATACTACCTAGCATCTCCATCCACTCAATAGCAGTGAAATCATAATTAGCTTCAAGTATGCAGCACATACTAAATAACCGATTTTTGTCTCAGTGAAACTGCACTTTCAACTCAGACTGCGACCTAATCTGCTGCACGTATTTTCCAGACTTCCAACAATCCTGATTTCACTAGTTGTCAAATCAATGAACTTGCCTCCTTCACCCTTGTTTTTAAAAGTCTCCTTGAAAATGACACCTTCAATATTTGATTGCAAGTACACTTGAGATGGTACATAACTAATGAACCAAACCAGTTAATTACAACTATTGCTACAGCACAGCAATCACGCAGTGTGCCTTAGATATCAGTGAAAGGACCAAACCCTGCCAGATTTTGATCTGAATTAGACTTGACAAGCAGGATGAAAGCAAACAAAAGGAGAGACAGTGGGAGGAGAAAGGTTACAACAGGGGGATTAGGAAATGTGGTTTAGGTTTGTTTTTTTTAAAACATATCTTAATAATTCCCTGTGAAGTTTTAATGAATTTGCTTTACGCATTAGGATATCTTGCCAGTGTCTGGAATGAAGGGCAGGGTGGGGTCAGCAGTCTCTGCTGCAACATCTGACATGTCATAACAGCGTCCAGATTAAATATCAACATTGCCAGTGTCACTCTGAAACATGAACGGGCTCTCCTACCTCTTGCAACGTGTTGATATCCACACCATCCCCTTGAATAACTCTGAGATACGGTGGCAGCAACTTGTAGCCTTTTGAGTTCTCTGTAATGGGAAATTTCTTCCCTAAGATCTCCAAGACCTATTAAAAAACAAAAAGCAGTTCAAAATAAAAGTCATAACCTGCTATCCCAATAAACAAACACCATTTCCACATTTGAGTCACGCTCTTTCAAAGGAAAAATCCATAAAAACACCCATATATCCTGCATTAAATCTATCCATAGGCACACAAGGAAAAAGCATGCCAGCCATTAGATTAAAGCAGTCCCAGACCATATAGCCTTTGTGAACTTGTATCCGAGAGCTAATGAGAACCACGCTCCCCTCCTTTCTTTTTCATTGCTGTGAGTTTTTACTATTAAATTTGAAGATTCTCCTCTTCTTTTGACCTCCCTTAAGATGGCAGATGAGGCTTTTGGTTTTCTGTGATTTTGTTAGTCACCAATAATTAAAACTAAACACTTCAGTCTGGAGTTTTTCCTATTTGTCATATGTGACTTGCCCCAAAGGAAAAAAAAAAAGGTAAAGCTGTATGGATATAATTTGAAAGGCTACCAACAAAACTAAAATTTCCCCTTCTTTCTTATTAAAACAGTGGTGACAGCTGCTCAGATTCAGATGTATCAATGGCTTGTATTATCTAACTTTAACAATCATTATGCTCTCTAAAGAACTACAAGGCAAGAAGAATTTCTCAGTTTGGAGGTCGTGCACCACTGACTTAAATGCAGGTCATTAGGGAGAGAGTGCTAAATGTGTATTTGTAGCATAAAACAATGATTCACATTAATACTGGACACCAAGATACTTAAACTTGGCAGCAAAAAGTCTTACTGGCCTGGCGTTTTATTAGTACTCAAGTTGTTTCCCATTTTATTTGTTACTAAATGTTGAAAGTTTCTCTTCACAGAATCATTCCAGCATCATTATATCAGCAAAACTGTTATTGTAAAAGCTTCAAGAATGGTATGCAAGAAAGAGTATGATAAAAAAAGATTATTTACACTGCAAAAGAGTTTCTGTATCTATATAGAGATGAGGTGGATGTTTACACTTTTCAAAGGTCCAAATTATCCAGCATCAACTCTATACTATGGATACCAAGTTAGAACATTACATATGTTTCCTATGCTTGGTAGCCAGTCATTACAAAACAAACTACTGCCCTTCCCAATCCTGTATACCAATAACTTCCAGAAAGCATTACCTTTAAAACAGTGTCAAGGGGATTTCCAGAATCTGGTCTAATAATAAGTGGTGCCTCTGGACTTCGGGCTTCAATTATATGCCTTAAGTCATCGCCCCATATTTTTTCACAAGCGTTGTAAATGTCGTAGCTGTCACTAACCACAGACACAGGCACTGAAGAAAACTGCGTCACTATGTGTTCAAAAGCATCTTTTTCATGATCTTTCCCCCAAGCTGTTATGGTACTGTAAAAATCAATTGAAAAATCCGTATGATAGCAGCATTTATATGTTAAATCACACATTCCGTATTTCCTGCCAGCAACAGTTCAAGATAACAATAGGCAATATCATTACAAGACGGCATAGACCATGTGCTTGTCATCTCTGTGTTGCACGGATAGTAAATATAGTATATTATAAATAAACAGCATCCTGGATTATCTTTGGCAACTCAAACATTTGACATATGAAACTTCCTTCACATGTAAATGATTTATTTAAAAAAAAAAAACCACAACAAAAAAAATTAGGGGCCGGTTAGCTCAGTGGTTTGAGCAGTGGTGCTGACAACAATGACAACACCGAGGTCGCGGGTTTGATTCCCGCTTGGTCCCCACGTGTTGCCTGGTCTAGTCAAGAGGTGGCGTCCCTGCCCATGACAGGGAGGTTGGGCTAGATGATCTCTGAGGTCCCTTCCAGCATAGGCCATTCTACGATTCTATGATTAGCAAGAGAGTTTCTCTTTACATCTCCAATTCAGGCAGTCAGGGAACTACAGATGCAAGAATGTAACATCTGCTCTGTCAACTTCAAACTACAAAATGGGAAGTAGAGAACTAGTAGCATATGCTAGAAAAAAAATCTCAGAAGCAAAACACAATTTATTTTAGTTTAATAGTGATTTAAAACCACTAAACTCACTTATACAAACATTCTTCTAGAGGAACCTCAGGGCATTACCCTTGGTACAAGGGCACAGGCAAGCACAGAAACCAGAGTTGCTAGGAGGGGTAATAAGTTACCAAACAGCAGCCGATGGGCAGCAGCAGTTCTGTCAGTGGCTGTCACAGCCCAGCTGACACAACTGACTTCAGCAACTTGCCTGTGAACACCTAAAAATGCTTTCATGCAAAGCATAGGCTAGTGAGCATTGAACTTTTACCATAAAATGCTATTTTACTAGCATTAACTGTTGTGTAGACAAGCCCCAGATCACAGCAGTGAAGAGACAAAACGCGTTTCAACGCAGTTGGGGCAGTGCGAGGAATGAGCCTGGTGACACACCAGAGGCAAGCATGGCACTTGCAACGCAGCCTCGCGTTGGAGGTCGTGAAATAGCAGAACAATTCTGGGAAAAGTTTGGGTCTCTTGCCCGAGGCTCTTTTTGTGGAGTAGAAAAAGCGAGCGGAAAGGGCGACTGCAGCCTGTGTTTGGCAGCGCAGACTGTAACGAGGGCAGTTCAAGCTGTCTGCTCTCGTGCCACCACTTCGATAGGCTGTGCAAGACGACTCCACGTGTTTGCTCTCATCACAAAGAATTTTAGAGTTGCCTGGGTCACCATTTTTGGATTTAACCTTAGTATTAAGCTAAGCTAGGAGAATGTGTTTCAGACAAAATGTGACACTTCAACAAGAAGTAGGAGTTCTACAACAGTGCTACAGCAACGGTCCAGAAAGTGACATGAAGCAGTGTTCCTTTAAAGCTGATCACTATCCTACGAGGGCTATTCATGTCAGCCTTTCCAATCTTGCAATCCCAAGTGAAAATATTCACATTTAAAAGCACTGGATTTTGTACTTGTTAAGGGAAAAAAAAACAAACCACAAACAAACTTCATATTCTGCTCACTTCAGTAGGCAGACATGCAAGTGAAATCCAAGGATCTGCATTCACTCCTGACCTCTTACAGGATTTGAATATAAAAAATGAGAGGTCTTCATCTTAAATGTCTGTTTGAGATCACATCCTTATTCTCAAAACTCTCATTCACAAATCTTAGTGAGAGATGAAGTATTTACCATTAGCTGAATTAATTATGCTGATGGCAAGCTTTAGAGCAACTGCCTCTTTTGGAAGGAGAACATGATCTGGGAGTCCAGAATTGCAACATACATGGGTTTTCATTTTATAATTTTATGTTTAAAATGAAATTGAAAGTTCAGTATGTGAATCCTCAGTATCTACTGAAAGCTGTAAGCTTTCAAATCCACTCTAAAAAGAATCATCCAAATTTACTTAGACACTGATAAGCAGGTTATAGATAAAAAAAAAAAACTTTTAAAACATTTATAGTTAAGAACAACCATGCCACTGTTATGCCTCTAGAACATACAGAGGCATCAATACTGAACTTCAGCCTTGACAGCTGGATCGGTCATGGCTAATACTGTATGATGCAAGTGAAACAGCTTAATATTTCTGGATACAAAGATGGATAAGAAAAAATGACATTTTGTTAAGCTATTTTTAGAAGGGCTTTAACAGCCCAATACTTTACCTGTGTTCAGCAGCTGGAACAGAGTATCCTGGAACCGGATCTTTTGTCCCGTAGTACTTTTTAATTAATGCAATTCCTGCTACAGTGTCTGTTCCTTTGAAGTTCACCAAGTGAGCTGAAGCTCCTATTCCTGCAGTCTGAAAAAGACCCAACTTTCAGTTGCTGGGACAAATTTAGAAGCCTAAACCCAGCCACCACCTAGCACTAGCTTGACACAGCGTAACTCGGTTCCAGTTTCACCAATACTCTCTTCATGCCTCTCCAGAAGACAGTTTCCATACAGAAAAACCTCTTGCAGCGTGGTGCTCACAGACACATACCCACCTCCCACCTCAGACCGGTCCCTTGGCAATAAATCCAAGTAGTGCTCTGCGCGTTCACCATTTCAGTGCTGAACAGGGACACAAGTGGGAACAGACAGATGCCACCATCTGCTATAGCTAAGAACACTTACACTTCTCAAATTATCAGACAAGTAGTATTACCTCTTGTGAAGAAACTCCTCTGTAGCCAAAGTCATGCAGCTTATACTCCAGTCCTTCCAAGCTGCCAGAAGTCTCTAGCAAATATTTGGCCAAAATCTTTTTCTGCTCTCTTGAGTTCGTAGCCACTGTGATTGGATACCACGACTGCACAAGAATCGTCTAAAACAAAATCCATCACATTATTAGGCATGTGTTTGCTTAGGACTTAAAAATCCCCACGTGGCATTTAATCAGGCACAAAAAGGTCTATTTATTTTCATTGCTCATTGAGAAAGTACTGATGCTTCCAACAGTTTGCTTTAGGGGTAAAGTAATTAGCTTTTATAATGCCTTTATAAGGTAGACCAGGTATTGATCACCTCAGGAATTATCACTCCCAAGCTCTGGACACACAATTTTCCCCCTCCATCCTACTTTCCTCGGTGATAAAAGTACTGCTGTGAATTTCCCGTAAAAGTACCACAACCTCTTGCCAGGTAGGGGGGGAAAGTTCTGTAGAAGAACACTATAAATATAATCCAGGCTTACTTAAAGCAGAAAGTGAGAATTGCCAGATATTCCCCTTAAAACGATAAGGGATTCAGCCATCAATTTAATTGCATTAATATTTACTTAGCAAAAACATGTTAACTTTCCAAAACTGACCTCAATCCAATTTGTGAGCCAGTAGCACTCTGGATCTGTATTTTCTACTGTGAAAAGAACATTTCCTCTGGGAATTACAGAGCCCTCAGGAACAGCCTTTATTTCTATAGGAAGATGGCCATCGTATTTCTGCGTAAGAAACAGGAATCTTGTCAGGCAACGGGAAAGATTAGGACCTAACTCTCTTTTATTTGACTGCAATGGCTAAAAAGTCATGCTACGAGTTTATTGATGAAGCTTTCTTCTTCGTTTCTTTCAAACCTAAAAAAAATTTGGTTTGTTTGCACACCCACTAGCCCCTTAAAAAAAAATAAATTAAAAAAATCCACATTTATCAAAAAACCCAGGAAAATCCTGTAACCTAAAAAAAAAAAAAAGTTTATCAAATCAAATGATGGTTATCAGTTGTATTCCTTGCACAAATTCGAGAAATAAGTTCTACCTATAGAACAAGAAATACTTGCTACCTCTTTCTTTTAACCCGTGCTTTCACATTAAGCTAAAAAATGTTTAGCTGTTCTATACACCTTCAAAAAAACCCTACTTTTGCTTGTATAGATATGTGCTTTAATAATTTATTAGAGCAGGAACCAACTAATAACTATTTTAAAAAGTATATTATCATTTCAGTTATTCACGAAATTTAAAATCTAATGTTGTTGAAGTGTCATTCTTTTGTCAAATTCAGACTCTCATTCCTGATGGACTAAACACTGTGTGAAATAGAGCTTTTGAAAAAGAGTAAGTTGCAAACAGCAACTCTAAAAGAGTGATTATAACTTTCTTAAAGAGCGCCGCCAGCTACACTGATAATACTTAAAATGTTTCATATATTAATATTTTTTGACAGAAAGCTTCTCATGAGATATTCTTTAAAAGCAACAGAAATCGCATCAATTCAGGACAATTACACAAATTCATAAGTAGCATCAAAATGTATTCTCTAGTGTCCAAAATGCATCACAAGTCTCTTCCTCACTAGTTAAAAAGTTTCATCAAACGTGCAATATGCTGAAGCAAATTGTGTCTATATACCACATAGGGTTTAGCTGTCAGACTTTGAGATGTCTGTTCTGGGTTAACAAAGGACAATAAAGCCTTCAAAAAGACTCAAAATAAATTATTAATGATTCAATGAAGACAAAAAGTATCGTTAAGTGAAAACCAAAACAGATTCCAGAATAGCTATAGGTGTTGATTTTGTCCATGGAAAAAAAAGCAATGTGGTCATGCCACAGCAGTACAAGCCTTTTCAAAATTTTTAGGTAGAATTAGCTTGTATAATTCAGGGCCTACATCTCCGTCACTCATCAGTAATTCCTGCCAACTTCCAGCCTTTATGTCACCCCTTCCATCTTCACGCAATCCTCTCTGCTCTTCAACCCCTTCGCCCTATCAGTATTTACTCATTCATTTACTCTTGGTACAAGCTCATGCATGTATGTTTCAATTCATTTTGGCACTTGACTCACACAGTCATTGCTCCCTCTGCTTTACTTAACACCACATGTTAAGTAACAGAGCTAGAGAGCTAACGTGGGTAGGTATCCAAATAAAAGCACCTTATTGGTGGGTAAGGCATTGGCTGGATGGTTGCACCCAGAGGGTTGTGCTCAATGGCTCGATGTCCAGATGGAGACAGGTGACAGCTGGTGTCCCACAGGGAACCAGTGCTCTTCAACATCTTCATCAGTGACACAGACAGTGGGATAAGAGAGCAGCCTCAGCAAGTCTGCAGATGACACCAAGCTGAGTGGTGCGGTCGACATGCCGGAGGGACAGGATCTCCTCCGGAGGGATGTGGACAAGCTGGACAAGTGGGCCCATGCAAACCTCATGAGGTTCAACAAGTCTGAGTACAAGACTGCACCTGGGTTGGAGAAATCCTTTTTAACAAGGCTGGAGGATGAGGTGACAGAGAGCAACCATGTGGAAAATGACTTGGGTGTACTGGTGGCCATAAAGCTGGACATGAGCCACCAATGCACACTTGCGGCCCAAAAGGCCAACTGCATCCTGGGCTGCAACAGGAGAAACATGGCCAGCAGGTCGAGAGAGGTGATTCTGCCCCTCTGCACTGATAGGGCCTCACCTGCAGTACTGCAGCCAGCTGTGGAGCCCTCAACACAAGAATGACATGGACTTGTTGGAGCAGGTCCAGATGAGGCCACAAAAATGATCAAAGGGCTGGAGCACCTCTCCTACGAGGACAGGCTGAGAGAGTTGGGGTTGTTCAGTCTGGAGAAGAGAAGGCTCCAGGAAGACCTTACAGCGGCCTTCCAGTACCTGAAGGGGTGCTACAGGAAAGCTGGAGAGGGACTGTTTACAAAGGTGTGTGTAGCTATTGGACAAGGGGCAATGGTTTTAAACTAGAGCAGGGTAGAGTTAGACTAGATATCAGGAAGAAGTTCTTTACTACAGGGGAGGTGAAACACTGGAACAGGTTGCCCAGAGAGGTGGTGGTGGCTCCATTCCTGGAGGCATTCAAGGTCAGGCTTGATGGGACTCTATGCAACCTGATCTAGTTAAAGATGTCCCTGCTCACTGCAGGGAGGTTGGACTAGACGACCTTTAAAGGTCTCCTTGAGCCCAACACATTCTATGGTTCTATATACAGGAATTCAGTGAGCAGAAGCAGGGTCTCTGTCTGCATATAAGGCCATACAAAGACCCAAAAGGTACATACACTTCTAGTTTGAAAGCTATCAGCATCCAAGATCAGGAAGTGGAACTCCTATTTTTTCATATATGCACAATTTTAGCAAAAAAATCTAACAAAGGAAGAAACAATATACAGAGGGTACGCAGAAAAGCTTCTTTTGTCTAAACCAAAAAGTTGAATGGAATTAATTAAATCACGTTAAAGCTCAGTGTAGACAGACACGCATCACTAAACGTGTTAATTCAGTGTAGCCAAAGAGGGATCAAGATTACTTTAAATACAGGTGAAAGCTGTTCACCATGTATAATGTAGCTTAAACACAAATATGGATTGAATTCACATTGGTAGTTATTTGATCCAAGTCCTCTACAAATCTCTCCACAATCCTTTTAGAAAACAGTGGGTTTATTTACATTGCTGCCCTTTGGATACTTAGTTGAAATTCACTTTTGCAACACTCAGTTGAAATTCACTTTTCTCTTGCATACCGCATGGCCCACCCTGTTTGCAAGGTAACATCCAGGTATATTCACACCACATGCCACATAAAATACATACAGTCAGGGTATCCAGGCAAAAATTAATGCAAAGAACTAAAAACTGTGATTTCAAATGACAAAAAATATCCATTCACTAGAACCCACAATGAAACTTAGCATTTAATTAACTTGCAGAGATTAGAATAGCCCTGATGAATGCTCAGTCTGAATCTGCTGCTTTTATAGAGAAGAGATGTTTGCAATTACTTAAAGACTGACACTTTTTTAAACAAAAGGGAGAGAGTAATTGTGGAAAGACTTAATTTGGAAGGATGTGTGTGTCAGAAGTGCTCAAGCTTTCTATTTCATAATAAAGTTCAACTTCAGTATATCTGAGAAATTTAAGAAACGTTTCAACAAACCACGTATTTTCTGGAACTAATACACGCAAGAAGTTGTAATGCTCTGAGCATCAGAATAAAAATGGTTATGATTAGTTACAGAAAGCAACGTAAATGGTGCAAGCAGCCACTAGGCACTATAGTACATATGGAGACTTGCCAACAAGCCCCCACTTACACTTAGCTGGCTGACGGCAGTCGTAAATCCTTATTACCTGCAAAGCTGTGTTTGGCATCTGAAAGGATGAAAATTACTTTTCTCCAAAGAATTACAATTATATGATTATTCTTCAGTGTACAAGGAGTAGCAGCTGTCAAACATAAAAAGCTAAATTTATACAGTCTTTACTATGATAGTTAAAAGGAGAGTGCTGTATTTGTACTCCAATTGATTCGTAAATCCTTCACGATGATCTTATACTATTTACATTAATTTTTACCTCCAGAATATAGTTCCATCCCTTTTCATTGAAGACATCATCTTGAAAATGTTCCCTATATACTTCTTTGGCTTCCTTGATTTTCTCTTTGGTCACCACTTTACCTGTGGTTTCAGAAACAGATGAGAGCTTAGAAACTTAGAACATTTATCAATTTATAAAATAAATAACAAAAAGGTTAGAGACACAGAAAAGTCACTTTGCTTCCAACAAAGACATGGAGAACATGTCCAATGCAGTATACTAGCTAATTTAACGCCAAATTTTATTTTCATTTACTATATAGTTTAGGACGCTCAAGAAACCAACAGGATAAAACATACTTGCGAGTTGCAGGTGACTCAAGGTCAGTTTGAGATTATTACTCTTTTATGACATCAGGTCAAAGACCTGTCAAGAGTTCTAGTGGCAGTACTTTATCCAGAGGAACGTGTGATTGTGCAAGCTGGCACATGCAACAACACGTAACCAGACTAGCACAAGGGTTAAGCTACTTTGCTCCAGGGAGAATCCCCATGGAGAGTCCTTACAACCAGTCTTTGAGTGACCACCTTGCGATAGGAACTGACAGAATAATCGCATTATTTGAATAAGCATTGCTACTGCTGTAGGACCAATCATCTACTGGAAACGTTACAGAACAGTCCTCAGATTGCTAAAGAGAAAAGAAACAAGATTATCAAGCGTTTTGATTATAGTGGAATTCAAGTCTTTGGCAGAATTTGCAGAGATATTTATGGATTCCGGATCAAGACAAACATATGTAAGCCATATGACTAATGTTTTCTTTCTAATGTTTGGCAGAAGGCAACGTGCGTTCAGGTCAGAACAGGTGATATTTGCACATAATGCGAAAAAATGAACAAAATCTTAAATGGCACCAGTAAATTTTCAGATGTTGCTCTTCAAATTGTCAATATTGTAAACACTTTCACACGTAGCTGCAATATTCAATGATCTAAGCTGAGTAGCAATCAAAATGAAATTAAAACCACTATTAGTTTACACAGTAAATAAACCAACACATACAGAGTAAAGTTTATGTTCAAAATGTGAAATGTATTCTCTCTCAAATCTTCTATCTTCTCGTGATTCTGTGTACAGTCCATTTCCATACATTTCAATTTAGCCCATTGGCATAAATAAACATAATAGAGAGGCGTCTGAATTAAGAGGTCAATACCATTTTATGAGGGTGCACATCTCATTTTCAGAATCACATAAATAAGATCTTATGCATGTCACTACCTACACCATACCAAGATAATCTGGAATTGTATCATTAATAAGATTCCAGGCTTGAGAAGAGTTAAGGTATTTATTTACAGGAAAAGTTTGACTGGAATTTGAGTTACCTTTTAAGTATTTATTCAGAATGTACTGCAAACCATAAAAAACAGTTTCTTCGTATTTCACTTTCCTTAATTTGGAATTTTCAGTCTTCTTTTCACGACATTCAAAGTAGGAATATACTTTGCTTGTATTAGGTGGATATTGCTTGTAGTGTGTAACCTACATTAAGAAAAACTTCAGTAAGAACTCAAAGCATCACTAGAAAGCACAAAATAAATCATATTTGTACGTTAGGGACTGGAGTAACTCCCAGCTCCCCTGGACTCATTATTTATCCATTCACATTCTACACAGTACGTATTTAGGGGCTTTCCCTTCAATTTTCAGTTCAAAAGACCATCTGCCTTATCTCAATCTTTGATTTTGTGTCAAGCCTCTTCATGGTCAGTATTTCCACTCCTCCGATAACTTTGCTTAATAATTAACTGGGAAAGACACTGGTGAAGATTTTAGGAGCAGCACTGAGCAGCACTGAGCACCGACATGCTGGGTCAGTTTTAACTCTCCCCCACATTGGCCAAACCTAATAGCTACGGGAAGCACAAATTGACTGCCACTACCAAAGTGAAGGTACCTGCTTGGATTTTATTGATTTTTTTGAAGGCTATAATCACATAGTTCAAATAAAAGCCATCCAGGCTCAAGAAGGCACTGGCAATGAATTGTCTCATTCACCACGAACGGAGTGGGTCTCTCAAGCCTCGGTCCCATCAAAGCCAGCTTACAAATCTGGTACTGTCAGCAATGCTGTAAAAATCTACCTGAGGTTTGTACCTCCCCACAAAGTTTGCCAGACTGACTTTTTCAAACATTGGGGAAAAAGTTCATGTTCAGAATCAAGGAAGCATGAAAAGCTGCAGCCTGTGGGTATTACATGGAAACTGGTCATATGAACATACAAGGTTATGCTGGATTCAACCATAAAAGCTTTTTTTAGCTACTCAAAGTAAATTTCTGAGTAATTTACTATGAGTAATAACATACCATTTGAAACAGGTATACTTTGAACATTAACAACTTAAACCTGCAGAATCTTATCTCCTAACGTGTAAAAACCAAACTCCATGAAAAATCCATAATTCCATATTAAACAGAATACACAATGACATAAATTTCATACTATGAATATTTAAATTACAGGATACAAAAATCAGCTTAAGGCTTTCCCAAAGATGAGGCTAACATTTTTTTTTCTGAAATTATCACAAAAAGACAAGTCTTTGAACAATTCTACACACTCCATAAAGGAAAACTCTTCCTATGGTCAAGTAAAGCAAAACAAAAATCAAAAAGATTTGAAAACCCCTCAGATTTATAGGTTAGAGCATGAGTTCATTACAAGTTTCTTGCTGTTACTTCTTCCTTCAAATCACCTTAAAAATGTTTGTTTCTGATACCACAAGGAATTGGAAAAGGAATAGTTTTACCGCTTCTTTACTGTCCTCATTTTTTAAAACATATTTGTGACACTGTCAAAATAAAGTTTCTCTTACCTGTACTGCTAAAACTGTATATTAAAATTATTTTTAAAATAGAGTTTACTTTTTCCTCTCAATTGTCATTTAGATAAAATATCCCATTCAGTTTAGACAAACTAGACTGCTTAACTGAATTTTTCTGTTCCTCTATAACACCACAACGCTGTTACGGTTGTGTTTCCAATGCTACAAGGAAACGTTCGAATAATGAAAAGGTCAATTTTCAGATCTTTCCCTTGTCTTTACTTGTATGCAGTTTTCAAGGCCAATCAAATAAAACCCAAGCTTGTCATTGCACGTTTTTTGCCTTTACTTCAAACAAAGCACCGCAACGTAGGCATTTAACGGGGCAAAAACCTATTCTGTTCCAGTTCCACAGCCACTCAAAGGCAGAATGCTTAACAGTGGTAACATTAGATCCAAAGATAAAACCTGGCTTGTAGATTTAGTGCTAGCTATTAATAAATGTCTCACTCCACAAATTATAACACATCCTTTCCTAGTTCTACACAGAACTTCCAAAAAAGTAAATTACACTGCCAGCTCACAGAAAATTCTATTCAGGATACTATCATGTTTAAAGGAAAAAAACCACAAAATCAAACCAAAGACCAGTAAACAAAACAAAATGCACACCCCCTCTAAATCTTCTCCTGCCTTTCTGTGGAGCAGCCACAAACATAGTCTGTTTGACATGCCTTTCTAACTAACAGGAATATCAACATACCCAAGCCCCTTAAGAAAAAAATTGTATTAAATGGAGAAGAAAAGCACGTAAGTCATTGGAAGGTTCATTCACTGCTCTTGGACTTTAAAACCCCAGCTGGCAGCTCAGCCCCCTGCAGCCACTCGCTCATTCCACCCCGCAGCATGACTGGGGAGAGAATCAGAAAAGTGAGAAAACTTGCGGATTGAGATAAAGACAGCTTAACAGGTAAAGAAAAGCCACACACACAAACAAAGCAAAGCAAGGAATTCCTCGCCCAATTCCCATGGGCAGGCAGGTGTTCAGCCATCTCCAGGAAAGCAGGGTGCCAGCACACATAACGGTGACTTGGGAAGACAAATGCCATCACTCCAAACATCCCTCTCTTCCTCCTCCTTCCCCTGGTTTTACGTGCTGAGCATGATGTTGTATGGTCTGGGATACCCCTTGGGTCAGTTGCGCAAGTTGCGAATAAGAACTGCTCAGCAGTAACTACAACGTCCCTGTGTTATCAGCACAAATCCAAAACAGCCCTGTAGTAGCTGCTGGGAAGAAAATGAACGCAGCCCAAACCAGCCCACCTGTAAGGCACCGAGAGTAGCAACTCCTTGCTTCGCACTGTTGCCGCTGAAGTACAGGACAGCAAATGTACGAAATATTTGGCTATTTCTTGTGATTGGGACTCAGCTTTCATTGGTGTTTCTTCATGATTTGATTGTGTCACCTGGAAACTGCCTTAACTTTATTTCCATTCTTCATCCTGCTGGCATGCCACAGCTTCGTGACCTCAGAGTACACACTCAACACAGATCCACCAGCTTCAAGTGTCCACGGCAGACACCCCAGGAACAATTCCCCAAAGCAGAATCCGAACTCCTTGTGACGAGCTCTGCAGCAAACCAATGTAATGTTGCTGTTCTTACCACAACAGTTCCGGCAAAACAAAGAAAACTACATTTGCGTGAGATTGCCTACTTGCGTCTCTTCCAAAAAAACCAACTCGCTTAAAAAGTGACAACTGAATAACTATGGGCAAATGCTGAAGCCAACATCTATATTACAATGAAGGTATGTGTGATCTTTGGCTACCATTTAAAAGCAATATTTAATTTTGCAGTTCAAAGACATCTCCCCCAGCTAAATGCTTTTCTCTATCAAATGGGTTACACATCTAAATTATCTTAACGTGTACAGTGCACACACTGAGTTGGTGCCACGTTTTCCTACTGCATTTAAGTACGGGGGTTTTTAAGGACCTTCCATTGTAGGTCTGCTTTGAAGCATGATCACAAAATATGGTGCTCTGGCTGCAAATCACAATTTGAGGGTTGAAATCAGGCTGGAACGCTAACAGACAGATTTATCCTTTATGTAGCATACCTGGGGAAACAGTTCATCCACACTACCTTGCTGGCAGTTTCAACCTAAAAAAAAATCCCTGCTCAAGTTCCTCAAACATTAAATCACAGGTTTATCTACTCTTTCTGACATTAGATTAGATCTTAAGATAAAAATATATATTACTAGTATCCAGAAAGTAGTTATTTCTAGGGATTCAAACATAAATAAAAATTTTGTGTATGACAGAAGTGTCATTTTATCAATTTAATTGCTTCAAATACTTGAAAGAGATAATTAACAGATTTTAGAACAGTTATATGTGTAAGATTCAATTACATTCTTCACACGTTATGATTTATTTGAACAGCGAAAAATACATTTCCTTGGCACTTAAGATATTTACATCTAAGCAAACTTTACATCTGTAATTTTAAATAACTCCTGCCTCTGTTGACATTCCACAAGGCTATTATTTTTATCTATAAAGCCGAAACACTCTTTGGGTGCCCGCAAGGGCTCTCATAGCTCACTCTGTATTTAAAGATACCATCTTAAAGTACCACACTTCCCAAGCAGTGCCTACTCCAGGCATGCTATACAGGTACGCGAGAAGCTAAGCACAACACCTACGTCCTCTGTTCACTTACCTGGCCACTTGGTCTGCTTTCAAGCTCCCAGGCAGAGCATCATACCTCATGTGAGCATCTGCCCGCAGAATATCACAGCAGCTCTATAGCTGGTATTTCTGGACTACTAGGACATAGGGAAGTAATATTCATCAAGTGTAGAGTTTGCACCTGGGAAGGAACAACCCCATGTGCCAGTACAGGTTGGGGACTGACCTGCTGGAGAGCAGCGTAGGAGAAAGGGACCTGGGGGTTCTAGTGGACAACAGGATGACCATGAGCCAGCAATGTGCCCTTGTGGCCAGGAAGGCCAATGGCATCCTGGGGTGTATTAGAAAGGGAGTGGCTAGTAGGTTGAGAGAGGTCCTCCTGCCCCTCTACTCTGCCCTGGTGAGGCCACATCTGGAATATTGTGTCCAGTTCTGGGCCTCTCAGCTCAAGAGAGACAGGGAACTGCTGGAGAGAGTCCAGCACAGAGCCACAAAGATGATGGAGGGAGTGGAACATCTCCCTTCTGAGGAAAGGCTGAAGGAGCTGGGTCTCTTTAGTTTGAAGAAGAGGAGGATGAGGGGTGACCTCATAAATGTTTATAAATATGTCAAGGGTGAGTGTCAGGAGGACGGAGCCAGGCTCTTCTCAGTGATGTCTAATGACAGGACAAGGAGCAATGGGTACAAGCTGGAACACAGGAGGTTCCACAGAAACATGAGAAAAAACTTTTTCCCTGTGAGGGTGACAGAGCCCTGGCACAGGCTGCCCAGGGAGGTTGTGGAGTCTCCTTCTCTGGAGACATTCAAAACCCTCCAAGCCCTGACATTCTGTGTTTCTGTGATCCACTGTAGCCATGGTCAGGAGTTTCAGCATGGAGTGAGGTGCTCAGTAGTAAAAAACAGTGTGAAGAAGGACCAAGCTCTCAGAAGTGGGAATAGTTCACCGAAGATGCAGAGAATGCCACTGAAAATCAACCAACCAAGCAGCCAGCCAACCCAAAAAAAACCCCAGCCCCAC